ACTTCTTCCAATGACTAGAAATTCCTAAAACTTTATACCATAAAAATTTTGACGTGTTTCTAAAGAACCGGCTTACTGTTTAGCTTTAAAAAATAAAAATTGCTTATTGCAACTGGAACAGTTTGCTTTAAGTGGCCACATGATGTCTGGAGGTTACTTTTGGAATACGTGTGGCTCTTGTACGCGTGGGTTGACCTTCGACACAAACCTGAGCTTAATTTCGCCTTCTCCCTAGAATATACATATTCAGCCCCACTTAATGCCTTATTCTACTTGGTGGGGAGCTCCGCGGTGTTACAATAATTGCAGTGGAAGCCCGGCTTTTTTAAAAACTTCTATCCTGTTATCCACCGTTTGTAAAATAAATCCTGCAACAAAGGAATCGAAATTCTATGAGTCCTTCCAAACAGGAGGAGTGGGAATAATGTGAGGATTTGGATCCCCCTTGTCTCCGCGTTCCACAGACAGGCTGTTAACAAATGACGCGATACTGCTTCGTATCGGAAATGTCCCGATTATATCCATGTATGAACGCTACGAATCTCCTTATATGTAGGGCTTTATCTAATTATATCTTCCTTATTAAACATCTGTTTTGAAATGGTGTCCCGACGTCTAGTTCTGGAAGCAATTGACGGTCAACAGATGTGTGCAGCTCCGATTCCAACTGTTAGACCGAAATTAAATCCATATGCAGTCTAAGCTGCTGAAGAGACCAAGGACGTCCCTAACCTTCTTATTGAGAAGTAAAAGCATTAAGTAGAGTTGAATGCTTGTTAGCAGCAAGAAGGGGAATATGTGGAACATTGTTTTGGTCCTAAGGCCAAGGTAAAAATTAAAGTGATGGCCAATCACACAGGTAGTCTTCTAAACATGGTATTACAATTACATAGGCACTAGTTCGCTTCCCCTGAGAAAAGTATGGCATACATTGTTACTAAGATGAAGTCATGAGGAGACGTAGTGCTAAGGCGGAAAGTGTATTACTGACGTGTAGTAGTTAGGCACGATCGCTTGTAACTGGACTCACGCAGTCAAACATTTACGACCTACGAAGGCTCGCATAATCAGAAGGAACTTCGTTTAGCTTTATAAAGATGTGGACATCAGGTATCACTGTATTAGGAAATGTCACAGAGCGATATTATATCTGCGATGGCGTAATTATTTACAGGTTCGTAAATCTGTATTAACTTAGCTATAGAGACCTGCTAACATCACTGCCTTAGCGCACGAATACAATACGCTTAAATATGGGAAACAGATAGGACCTCATTTAAAAAGGCTCACCTCACTGTAATATATACTAGTTTGTTTAAGTTGACTTTTATAGAAGAGAGGCGGGAACCAATTGGGAGCGCGAATCACGTGCGCGAAGGTGGTGAGGAGCCTCCCTCCAGTTAATATCGCCTACCCGGCTCACCTCCATCCCGACCTCCATTCTTCCTATAACAAATGCCAGGAAGGGCATGAAGGTAGGCTGGCAGCTCTCACACGCACTTTGAAGCAAATGTTGCGCTGTAAAACTAACAAACAATTTGAGGCGAATTAATGTCACCTAACAAATATTGCTACTGTGTCATTTTAAAATTCATTATTTTTTCGCAAATTTTAGAAAAGCCAGAATGTCACTTTAGTTTGCAAATTTTACAAGCTCATGCAATATTTCGTATTTAGATGTTTTGTTTTAATTTATTTCTTGTGAAAAGTTCTGACCAATCCAGAACTACGAGCGCGACTTTGCGATTTGTACTGCGCTCGTTAGCATGGGTACTCTTACGCCGAAGCCTTTCTTGAGTAGCATAACTGGAAAGAAAGTCATTGTGAAGCTTAAATGGGGTATGGAGTATAAGGGTTATTTGGTCGCCGTGGATCGCTACATGAACCTTCAGCTGCATAGTACTGATGAGTACATCGACAACTGCTTTACTGGAAGTCTCGGCGAGGTTCTCATTCGTTGCAACAACGTTCTGTACATCAGGGAGTGTGAAGACGATTCTAAAACGGATATGGAATAGCACTTCCTTACTGGTGCTTCTTCTGTGGGTCTGTATATAATGCGAACTTGTGTGGCCTTCAATATAATAAATTTTAAATTTACGTCTCTTGTGAAGCTTGACGACCTCCGGTGCGAGTACTTTGTTCCTCACTTATGGATTCGGGGCAGGGGTGTTTGGTTTACGTTAAATATTAGGCTGACATAGGGTAACCAGAATGGGGAAGTTGCAGTTGCTGCTGGTTCTCTGCCTGCTCACATTCACGGTTATGGGGCAGTTACAATTTAAACTCTACCTGTGGTTTATTCGATGTAGGTATGCAATCTGGATTTCTCTTTTGCTAATTCTTTCATACCTCGACGCTTACGGCTTGTGTTATTGACTAAATAATGAGAGATAGGTCTGGAACTGGACTCTTTCTAGTCGCGCTGAAGATTAACTAGGCGCCATTTAAAAGTTGCGATTTGATGAGTGAAATCAGGGCCTCACTGCATGGAAGCTTGGCACTGCAGAAAATAACTCGACTTAGTTCAGCGTGTAAGGTTCGTAAAGCACTCGACTTCGTTCTTTTGGTACTTTGTACCTTTGTGCTTTGCTTCCTTATGTACCTGCCTTCATCATCAAAAACCGATCAGCAAGCCCTACCCTCCATTGTTGATCAGTGTCGAATTAAGGTTCCCGCCGAAGCACCAGCGATAATGCTGCATTCGGCGTCAAGGGAGGAACATTCCCACAATTGTCGCATTTACTGAGTTTTTTACCGTTAAAGACGCGAAAATTGCCGCCAGCCACGAAGTCACCAGACCGAGTCAAACCTCACTACCCCGAAAACTAGCAGAATTAAAGAGAACTCGCTATCATTCACAGCTCAGCACTCAGATCCACCAGTGTAACAGACAAAACGGCAACACTAATCTGGATTCAGAAAAATAGACTCCCGAAGGTGATTAGATTCTGCTCCAGGTACTCAAGAAGCTCAAATTTGATCAATGATGATGATCGGATACCAGTCACGATCAAATCGCCAAAACTACTACACATAAAACCAACTGCCCAAAATATAGTTAAGCTTGCTCCTAGTGTATGATGCTAAGAACATGAAGAGCAACTAAGTTATTCGATTGAAATCATGT